CAATGGCTTATTTACTGCTTAGCTTTTTTGTGACTACTTGGCTAGGTCTGAGATGACTTCACAAACACTTGGACATTGCTTTAATATGGTTAGGTAAATTACTACAGTGCAGTCTGTGCTTTCTCCTCTTTCTCCAAACACCTGTGGCAGTCTGGGAATGACATTCTGTGACCATTGGGGAGATGGGCAGGAGACATCTATGTCTAACAGTTTAAGATGTATACCGAATTCAGATCTTTGGGACATTTGATGTTCCAGGTGGAATATCTGCTCTAAATACCTGGAGCTCCCAACTCCAGAATAGCTCGGCAGCTTGAGTAGTAAATGGACAGTGCTTCATATCTTCACTTTCAGTTACGCAGGTGATGAGGTCTTGAACTTTGTTACCTCACATTCCCAGTTTAGTTCCAGATAAGCACGATAGTGGCTGGTTTGGTTGTGTCTCTTTATCAGTTATCTGTTTTGAGCTGTTGAACTCTGTAAAATTAATTGATTGCATTACACATTTGAACTAGTCTCTGCTACTTTCTAGAGAAATGTCTCAACTGTGTGGAAATTTGCTATTTTGGGATAAGAATCTTTCTTCTCTTCTCAGTTGCACTGTGCTTCATACTTTGTCATCCGTGAGGCAGTAAAACTCTAATCAGTCCTTTTTTTCCAAAAGAAAGTATTCAGTCATTTTGCCAGATGAGCCATTTTCTCAGCTAGTTGAAGTCATCCAGAAAAGATTCATGCATGATTTGAAGAGAATGGAAAGGGCAGCAGCTATGTATCATTGATACGAGGACTCGTGACCGTATAAATGATTTCACAGTTCTAGGCACAGGAGGTTATTTTGAAGTCACTTTTTAGTGACTGGCAGTAGAGAAGTTTGCAAGTTACCACCAATACCTCTGCTCTGGTTCTGTTTATACAAAATACTGTTTGTTTTTGTGGAATGCAGTCACCTTGAAAAGAAAGGTGTGCATGGCATTTACAACATGAAAGGCAGAACTCTGCTTTTGCCTTACTCCTGCATGACTTGACTAGACTGGAACACTTAGCAACATTAACTGCAGTAATAACTTCATCCAAGGCTGAATGGCATCAGTCTGGTTGTGCATTAGTGTGAGAAAGTTGTTCTTTCAAACACAGCAAAGAAAGTATGTTGTTATCATGCTCCTGCAGTGTATCAGTAACCATTTTTGGCTTAGAAATGGATAAAATACTGCCTGGATGGCTGTATTGAGGGTGTCTCCAGCAGCAGATTGATACCTAAATGATAAGCAGTGGGCAGAAGAATAGAAGGCTTTTCCTGGGTAAAGTATTCAGATGGAGTAAATGGAGGATGTCTGAACTGTGTTAGTTGCAGAGCCAATGATGGTGTTAGAACTTATAGGACTGCTTGTAAAAGGCTGGAGAGGTTGAAGGGGAGAACAAAATATCGTGCCATCACAGCTGGACCTCTGGTTTGGGTCTTTCCCTGTCTCAGTGATTTCTACGTGGTCCACATTATATATACAACAGAGATAGCAACTCTGGCTTGTCTGAGCCAGGTTAGGCAATCCTGTAGGTAGATCGTTGGATGTAGATTTTGCTAAGGGATTCTGAAATCTGTGTTCAGCTGCAGCACTACAAATCAGATAGTAGGGAACAGTGTTGTGACAGTGTTAAGGTTTAAAATTCAATTCTTGGACTACAAAGCCATTTAGCTTCTTCAATTTTTTATGCAAGTCCTCATTTTCAATTTACTGCAAATTGAACATAAGCAATTTTTACAATCTAGCAAAAGGGTTTCGTAGTCATGTGTCCCATGTACAGGGTCATAACTTGTGTTTGCATTTTAAATATTAAATGTATTCTTACGTAGGTGAATTCTATACTCATTACTGCTTGTTACATCTGATTGATGAATATACTGTATCTACTTTTGTCATTGTTTTGCTTCTCAGGATCAAATCTTCATGGAGAATGTTGGTGCTGTAAAGCAGCTTTGTAAACTAACCAACAATCTTGAAGTCAGAATAGAAGAATTGGAACAGTGGAATAGGAAACTGGCCAGGCTGAAACGGATGAGCAGTTTAAAGTCAACAGTCAGCGAAGAGAGCAAAGTCAGGTACCTCTATCTGGAATGTTTTCTGATAGTTGTCACAGAAATTGGTAAAGCGGTCTCTGTGGTAGAAGTGAAAACTGATTTCGCTTGACAGTGGAGTTCAGCTCATTTCCAGCATTTAAGTTGTGCAAACAATGCAAATTTCTCATATTTTTTAACTCACTGACAAAATTAATATTTGAAATGGCTGTTAAATTGCAGTCATTTTTGTAATCGCTTCGGCTGGATAAAGCAAGGGTAGATTATGTCCAGTTACAGCTCTGGAGCTTGGAAATTGCTGCTAAGAGAAATCTGCCAAGCTGCTTCTGCAAGAAAGAATCGTCATTAGTGCTTCAGTGGAAGTGATGAGCATTTCCTGTTTCTAACCCATTTCCCCAAGTTTTCTTTGAAATCAAATATAGCATTTAATAGCATTCTCCTGAATGAGTTAACTGGAGGCCTTTGTTCTTGGAAATGAATCTGATAACACTATTGCCTTTCTCTATTTAAATGTTAAAATTGCAAAAGCAAGTGACAGTAACACCATATTGAAAATGTCCCTTTTTCATTTATTAGTTGCTGAAGCATTTGAATATTAAAAGGATTTTGTTTCTTACAGCCGGTATAGTCGAGCTACTAGTCTTTTGCCATCAAATAAATCAGTCCCGCTAACATCCAGCAAGGTGAGTCAAATTAAATATATGAAATGTGCCTATAAGTGTTTTTCTAAGTGTTGAAGTGTTGCTAAAAGCTTTCATGTTTCTAAATATAAAATCAAATTCCTTAGCCAGAATTATTTAGTGTCATGCTAGGATCTTAAAAACTAACTGTTCTGAGATAGAAAAAATATGAGACACTTTCAATTCTTGCCTATACATTGTGTGTGCGAGAGCAGATCCATGCTGTATGATGGTGTCAAGGAAGAGACCTCAACAGGAGAGAATTGTTGGGCCTGTAGGTGTGCTCACATGGTGCAGTGCAGCCTTGCACGGAGATGCTCATTTTGGTTTGGAAGTCTTCACAGTGATAATTCTTTCTCAGCTTTTTTCCTTGGATGAGTCTTTCACTGTGGTTCGTAGTTAGCATCTCCTGTAATTAGCATCTTCTGGCTACTGCTTACTGAGTTCTTAATTTGATTTTGAAATACTTCAAGAGTATGAACAATGGCAGGAAGAAAAGAGAAGGAACTGTTATTTTTACCCACCCTTTCTGCTTGTGTAATGTTTGTGTCCTCAAGACTATCAACAGCGTGCGGTGCACTCACAGTTCTAGGGAGCCTTTCATTACTTAAGTTTTTCTCTTTAGATGTTGACCCCTATATAACGATAACTTGTATGATTCCTCTGAAAGAAACAAGGTTAACTTCAAGTCAGACTAGTGTAGTATTTCTTAAGCTACTAGTAGTAGCTGAGTTATGTGCCACTTAAATTAAACAAACTTTTTTTTTCTAGGTTTGTTTGTCAAAGAGGAAAGAGTCTTTCTCCATGAAGATTTTCCGGGTGACTATAATAGCTTTGATTGCTATTATGGCACTATGGTAACAACTAATTATCAACAAGTTGACTTGTTTCTCCCTTCCCCTTTCTACTTATCAGAAAGAAGATTGCAATTTTTTTCTTCTTCTTACAATTTCTACTCAAAGAACACAGTGTATTAAAGTTAACAGTGAACATCCCTGGTAATATTGTAAGGTTGAAAATGTTTTAGAAAAGTGAGATACTCATGTGGTGCACACACAACTAATCTCTGTCTATGTCACAATGTATGGTGCACCTTGAACGCATCTTGGTGGCTTGTGCTACAGGTCCAAAGCTGGACTTGTGAGACTTTGCATGTTTGATGCAATCATTCTGTCCCAGAGTACAATTTCTGATGTACTGAGTGATCTGTTGTGTGAAATAAAGCTGGACTTGTTCCCAATGTGGTGGGCAGTCCTGCCACTCTGAAAGTTTAACTTGTGATATCGGACTTGTGGAAAGGAAAGAATGCTCTGGACTTTTGAGATTGCCATTTTCTGTTTCCAGTCCAAAACCCTGTGCTTTACAATCTCTCTGTGAACCGAGTACTTTGAACTGGTGGTGTAATTCTATTTACAATGGAAAACCGACCATACTTTGTGTTGAATTTAGCTGTATACAAGTATCTGACTTAAAACCCATTAAATTCAGTCAAATTTTTTTCCACTAAAGGGGAAGTGTTCAGATAGTTAACTCTTATATTACTACATTTGGACAAGGTGCAGTCAAGGTATTATTCGTATTATGTTATATAAGACATGGGTGTAAATCTACAGAATAATTCTCTTTCTACAGTGCTTTGACAATATCAACCCTATATTTACTTAGCGTTCATGACAGACATTTTGAAAAACATCCAATTTACAGGCAAGTAGTTGAATTATTGTTAATGAATGCAAAGTAGTAATAGATTGTGGGCCAATCAGTTTTGGTCCACAGCTCTTATGTCCATTTCTTAATTAATTGTTTTTCTTTTTCTTCAATAGCAGTACCTCAAGTTCTGTTGTACTCTCTCCCTCTACCACTACAGCAGGTACTGTATCTTTGCTGGTCTGCATACACATAACAGGCTTTCAATTTCTGTGCTATTATAAAATTCCAATAGACACACAGCACTAGTGAGAATTATGTCTTTTTTTTTTTTTTTTTTCCTTTAGCATTGCAGGGGGAAAGCACAATTTCTCAGAGCACGCAACCCGTCAGCAGGATCCCTGAAGTGAATTTCTGTGACATTTTGCCTTGTGACAAGGTCTATTGTTGTCCAATTCATCAACAAAAAGTAAAATCTCTAAGTTACGAGAAAACCAATGCAAAGGAGAAACGTAAGTTGAAGCATTCATTTCTATTATTTACCATTTGAATAAACAGTATATGAAGCGTGTGGGGGAAGGGGCAAGAATCTTTAGAGGCAGTTAGCTTCCAAGAAAAGAGCCCAATCCAGGGGATTTAAAAAATCCTGATGTAACTAATCATCATTTGAGTCGATAAGTTTTTGAAAAATCTGGCTTGGTTACCTTTAAGAGTTCTGGGTCCTAAGATGTTTTGTCAGGTGTCACTGTTCTTCCTGGCCATTCATGGCAAATGATTTCATGTGAAGCAGAAAGTCACTAATTCCTTTAATTAACCTTTGGCTACAGTTGGCCAGGAGTTGATTGGGGGTAGTGGAAGGTGAATTAACAGATGTGAAAAAAACCAAAACATTTAATGGTGTCACAATGTGGTGATACTACATCTTTCCTGTGGGCAGAGACAGAAATTTGATTGCCAGAAAACATAAAACTTAAAATTAAAACTCTGCTCATTCAGGCAGGGGTTTTGAGTAGGCAAATGTTGTTTGAAGGCTGAGGTCTATGAAATAAATTACTTTTACTGGAATGAATTTTCTTTCAGATATTGTCTGCCAGATGTTATGTGTGTAATGTATGAGTAGGTGTATTGATTACAACTTTTATAATATTTATAAAAAAGGTTTTATATATAAAGGTATGTACAGGTTGTTGAAATCTGTATTGCTCTTTCCCACACCATAACATTGTCAGTGTCTAGAAGCAAGTGTTAGTGTTACTAAACCCAACATTCATACTCTTTGTTTCTTGGCCTTGGGAACAATTCTTGCACCAACCGCAGTTGGCAAGTTGAGGTGAAATTGGGGACGGATGCAGTTCAGCCTCTGAAGTACAAATGTCTACCAGGGCAGGCATTGCCAATTGCTGTGACAGTCTGATCACATGAACTGTTTCAGTGGGATTCACCCACGGGCCATTCTTTATACTGCAAAGTGCTGTTGTCTGCAGGCAAGCTGCATGTAAGTGGTCCTTGTGATTCTTGTGATTAGTGCGCAGTAAGCCCCGTGGCAGATACAGCTCAATACAGCGCTTTCAAGAGGTCATACCCAAGTGATTTGTGTTGCTCTGATGCCTGAAAGAGTGTTTATTAATTAAAAAGACATTAATCTCATTTACAAATGAGGGAACTGTAGATGGATGAAAATGAAATATGAAAACCTTCTATCCCCAGCTGACTGCATTTGATATTAGGTGGAAAGAGAAGATAAGAATAAACACAAAACATTACCTTCTCAAGGTCTTATGCTCCAAATAGCATTAAGTGTGGATCCAAGAGTGAAAAATCAGCACAGTACACAAGCTACTGAAAGATTTCAGATCTGCACAAGTTTAATGAAGCTGAATGTATCCCCAGATGGAAAGTAACAATGTCAATATGAAATCCAAACAGAAGGAAAACCAACAAGCTGCTTAATGTAGCTCTAGCCAAGATAAACGAAAAGTAAAAAGGAAAGGAAAATGTTTTCAGAACAAAAAGCTAAGTTAAATATGGGGAATAATCAAGATAAACAGTGGGTATTTTAGAATCAGCTGATTAGTTCATGGAAAGATAAAACTATTTGAAATTGCAGTTGGATTCAGTACTAGTTTAGGAGTTCATATTTAACAGACCTTTTACTGTTCCACTATCCTATACCTGTATTCTTTGGGTGCAGGCTACTACTGAGTGCATCTGTTGTAGCTCCTAATCCCTTGCATCTCAGATTTGTTGAGGAGAAGGCTGTTAGGAGTGTTCAAGTAGAAACAAAAGCATTCATAACCAAGACAAAATTTATCAAACAAAAATTCAGCACATCTTTTTGTTTAGCCTAATGTGGCCTTTTTTCCTCATACTTCATTTGTCTTACGAACTGAAGGATTTAGACTTTTGAACTCCTGTTGATTTCAGTGGAACTGAGGAGCGTGAATACCCTTCATCATCTTGACCTTTTCTGCTCTCTGCTTCCATGCCATTAATGCTCATTGCTCACCCCCTCATGTTAAGCGTCACTGGTAACCAGTGTCCTTACATTCTCTTAGAGTGTTGTTTCTCCCTGGTATCCCTTCCATCACAATAAAAGCTTGGTGAGGGCTCCTACTGGATTTTGGTGAACTTCATGTATTTGCATTTATTGCCTTCAGATGGTAGTTAGTGGATTCATAGCATGGTACCACCACCACAAGAAACCATCAGCAGGTTTTTTCCATACTGCTTATAGAGTATTACAACTCACGTGAATTAAAACCAGAAAGTGCTTGATTGGGAAAAAAAAAAAAAAAAAAAAGGATACCACATTTATTGGATGAATTTACTTGAAACTTGTCTGAAGATAATAGTTGTCCTCACTACATTCTGGTCATGCTCATACTTTTGTATTTGTTATTGAATTGGATCTTCACACGCCAGATGGGCCTTTGAGAAAGCCCTCAGAGTTACTGTATGTGGCAGAGTGGAAGTTTACCACAATTTATTGAAGGCTGCTGCAGTGTCTTTTGGTGGTTCCTGGTGTTCTTAATTGGCAACTTGAGCTCCAAATAAAAGTAGCTTCAGGGTCCTGCTTTCTACATTTCATTTGGGTTGCATCAGCTTAAAGGACAATGAAATAGTAATCGTATGAAGAGTAAAAAGCCAAGTAAAAATATTTTTCACTATTGGTTACAACTCAGTTTAAATAGTTGAAATCTTAGTGAAGTAAATCTATCTTCATCCTCGGTTTTTGTGCAAATTTCTGGTAGCCACTTAATGCTTTCCTGTCAAAGAATCACAGTATTAAATGTTTAATAATTCAGAGTATGTAATAAATATTCCTGCCAACACTTGCACAGCTGAACTATTGTATCTTCGGGGAGAACATCTTTCACTGAGCAATGTCTTACCTTTACCAGGGGATATAGGTTTTCCTACAGAATAGTTCTCTGTTAATGAAAATGCAAAAAGGCAGGGAACGTTTAATGCATTGCTAACATATCTCGACTACATAGAGAAAACAGAAGAAGGTGAAAGGAAGATGTGACAAGTGGTTTGTAAATTAAGAGGAAGAATGAGAGAATGAATAGCTCTTTTTTAGATCTGCCCCAGGACCTACTGTACATTTATAACTGATTGCATGTGTTCGGTAGCCATTTTTCTAGGTGTGTGGCAGCAGATCACAGCACAGCAGATGGTTACTAAATGCAACAATTACCACCTAAGTTGGCAGAACTGGCAAATCTGTATGATGAGGAAGTAAATAGAAAATGGATTCAGGGAATAACTAGCAGCAGTATCACAGATTCGTATCAAAACACAAAAATTATGGAAATCCCAGAGATGATTTTGTATTACATTGCTTCTGGGTCCTTAGATTCCAGTTGTTGATGTTGTTCCATGCTCTCAGTCACCTACTAGCGTGAGGAAACTCTGAATTTTCGTATTTCCCAATACTGAAATGAAAACCAAAATCTGGAATTAATAATAAAACAGTAAGGTTAATCCAGCTTTCTTGTTTCAATCTCAGTGAAATGATGCATTTTCATCCTTCGTTTTGTAAAATAAATTTTTATACAATGAAGCAGTGAATTCTGTTCTAAACAGACATTTTGAAATCAGAATGTTTACTTCGGAAAATGTGGGAATGCAGCATTCTGGTATTCTAGAAATACATGATTCCTTTTTTCCCAGATGAAATGGTATTTGATGAAGCATATTAGTTTAGGCAAGATCAACATTTCTCAGTGCCAATTTATTGGTAACATGTCTCTGGACAGATTCTTGGCTGATAATTAGTGTAAAAGCACAGGAGTAGCTTTAAACTAATTCCCATGGGCTTGAAGGGCCTTTTTCCTTCCCCAGGTTGTACAATGTGATGATTATTCAAAAGATCTTTTAAAGTTCACTTTGCTAGAGAAATGCTGGGAAAATTAATAGAGTTAAAAAAAACCCCATCAGCTTGTATTTCCCAGACTAGTTCAATGTTTGAAATTACAGAGGTGACATCAGTAAACATAGTGATCATGTTGTTAGAGCTGTGTATAAATTTCTTTAATTTGGTGACTCAATCTTCTGTCTCTGAAGTACTGTATCTCACGTGGGTCAGCCCTCAGTATCTTATATCTCACATTCAAAAAGCTAAGTTGTTCCCCTGGCCTATGTTTGCGTGGCAGATGCCTATTTATTAATTTTCTCACTAATAATAAAGATGTGGCTTTATGATCAGATTTGTGCTGACTTCTTTTGGCAATATATATCTTCTTCTGAATAAAGGTGCTTTGTATTTTAAGGGTTTCTCTTGTGGTTATGCATGCCTTTATCGAAGAGATAATTAACAAAACATCTTCTGATGTTGTATTAATATTTTGCTGCTACAACTGTGCAAGGCTAACTTGGGGACATTTGTACATACATCCTTTCACAGGAAACAGAAGTAACATGTTACCTGAAAGAAATCCAGTCAAAAAATCTATCAGAAGACCTGATCTTGGAAATGACTGTAAGTCTCATATTTTTTTTAAAAAAATGTTGAAATGTATAATTGTGTAACTTTGAAAAGCTACCTTTAGTCTTGGAATTCTGCTGCTGGAATTTAGAGAAGTTTCATTTATAACTGGTCATTATAGAGAATTAGCACTTAAGAATCTATTAAATATCTGTGATTCACTGTAATTTTCTTGTCATTTCAATTTACTCTTACATCTTCATTAGATTTTTATAGACATTCTGGCTGCCCTCTCTAGAGAGTTCTTAGACTTGGCTTCAGGTGCAATAAAATGACAAGTGACATTTTCCTTGACAGGGGCTGAAATCTCGTATAGTACTCAACTCTGCTAACCCTTATACAGCAAAACGCTTAAGCATATGAGTGTGGTATTTGTGTGCACGAAATGCATGATACAGTGTAAAGGAAGTGTTTGGAGTTTGGCCCAGTTGACCTAATGGGTTAAAAACGTCAGCTGCTGAAAGGGGCCATCTCTGCCTTAGCATCCTGACACTGCCTGCATCAGTGGAGATGAAATGAAGT